ACGGGAAGGGGAGGCATGCGGGGGGAGGGGCCGTGTGTTGGTGATGGAGGGTGTGCGTGTGCGGTGTGGGGTTCCGTGCCAGGGACGGAACGGCTCATGCAGGGAGGCATGATCCGTGACAGCTCCTGGAAGCACAGCACAAGCCCCTCGTTCGTGGTTGGGCAGGAGAGCAGGCTGCTCCGTCTGGCTGGCGCCGGCGCCCTGCGCCCCCACAGCGGATGCGCGCGGCTGCAGCGCTCAGCGCGCCGACCTGCGCCAGGTGCGTCAGGAATGCCAGCAGCAGCGCTGTCCGGTAGGCGCGCCCCGCCAGGAAAGGGATCAACGGGATGATGTAAAGTGCCGACAGGACTATGATCTGGGGGGGGGTGCAAAAGGGGAGAGGGCAGGTGCTTGGAATGGCAGCACGCATCATACAGTACAGGAGATGCGAGGGCCGCATCCAACGCGCAAGTGCAAGCTGTGACAGCCACACTTCAAGGCACCGTGCGACGGCCTCTTGCAGCCTGCTCACCCCAATGTCAGCGATGAACATTGCCTGTGGCAGCCAGACGGGCACCCCACCGCCCCCGCCATGCCCTCCCTGCGCCTGCTGCTGCGGCTGCTGCTGCTGCTGGTGCTGCTGCTGCTGCTGCTGCGGCCGCTGCTGGCTGGAGTGCTGCTGCGGCTGCTGCGGCTGGGCTGGCTTTTGAGAGGAGGTGGATGTGGGCAGCGGTGACGGGGCCGCTTGAGATACGTCGAAGCCCGGGTCCTTCTCCCGCTTGTACCACTTGGCCTTGACCTTCAAAAGTCCGGCTGGGTCGTTGCTTGGGATCTCCACCCTTTTTAAATGCGCCGCCCAGTCAGGATCTGAATCGAAATCGTAATCCCTATGGCGGCGGAGGGGGAGGGTGCGTCCCGAGGGTGCGATGCAGAAGGGGGGGTGCAACACGGAAGGGTCAGCGGGGATGCGATTGCTGATTGATGTGCATCCGATACACACCAAGCCGGCATGAGCTGTATGAAGCAAAGAGTGATAGCTGCTGGTCTCGATCTCAGCTATTCACCAGCCTGTTTGATCCCAACGCCGGGGTGGCCGAGGCCCTCAGGCCATTTGGTGGGCGACACTCCAGTCGCCTCCTGTCCTCGGCGCAGTCGGCGCTTGAGCGCCGCTAGGGCATGCACGCGTGGCGGAGCCGCTGCCAATGATTATGTGGTAGAACATTTGCACACCTGAATGCCCGTAGCTTGGCCTCTTGATCAGCCATGGTGATGTGTAGAAACCACGCGACACAGTGTCACTGTTGGCTAGTCAGGAAGTGAGTGCTATCGTATTCAATAACACTCTCTTAAAATACCGTTCACGCTGTCACAACAGCATTTGATCACATGTCATGATCTGAGTCACTGATGAACCGTCGAAAACACAACATTGTTGCAACGTGGACGGGCGGTCTTTGTGGCGTTCTTTAACGATCCTATGTCGCACAACACCGCCCTAGACAGTGCCATCCCTGCGCCCCCAACCGTGCTCGACTCTTCTGTCGTTGAGACGGGCTCCAAGTGGATAGAATTCCGTCGTGATACGATCCGAGACGCCCAGGGCAGGTAAACCAGCAGGGGGCCATGCGTCTGCCCCGCATCCCGCCGACTTCGTGCTACTCGGCACACATTGCCGCGTCACCTGCGTCTCTGAGCCCGCATCTGAGGCTAGCCGCAGCTGCGCTGTCAAGAAGCGCACCCTCACAGCGGCAGTGCAGCAGCATGGGCCTGAGAGCTGCCCTGGCAGCGGGTGCTCACCTCGAGCTGGGCACGGGGTCGCGCTCGCGCTGGCCCTCGCAGGGAATTTGCGTGGGATTACATCCACCGCGCGACCAAGTTCCGGGAGACAGACGGTGTGTGCGTCTTTGCCAAGGTAGGGCCAGGTGGTTGGCTCCTGCGGCCCACCCACCCATCACCCAGCCCCCCACAGCCTGACGGCTGACCGAGCGCTGCGACGCGGTTGAGCGCATGCAGGTGACCGGCAAGGCGTTCGCAGAGCCCCACGTGCTGCTGATTGCCCAGTGGCGCCCGCCCGCGCGTCGCTTCGTCGTCGAGGTGCGCATGCTGCTCCGCAGCTTGCTGCGTCAGGGCGCTGGCCCGCTGTTTGCCGCCCCAGCATCCATGGCACTGGGAGATGAAGATTACTATTCATGACAGCCCGGCACGCAACTGGCTTGCTGGTCAGCACATCGCCAGCTGAGCTGGTCGGCACGCATCGGCACACGCACGCATACGGCCCACCACGCCAGCGCGCGCACAACCGTGCAGCTCCCGGCTGGCATCATCTCGCCCGGCGAGACTGTGGAGGGCGTGGCGCTGCGTGAACTGAAAGAGGAGACAGGTGATCATGGTGGTGCCACTGCTGTGGCGCCGTGACACCCCATTCCAAATTCATGCGTGCATCGCGGTACCGCGTGAAGCGGGCCGCACGCCCACAGCGCAAGCGCTATCCGCGGCCTGCTGCGTGCGGCGCTCGCTGTTTGCCGGCGGCAGCGCGCACCTCGCACTCAAAGCCCCGGGACGCTGCGGCCCGCGGACTCCGCAGGGTACGCGGGCCGCGTCGTGTCGGCGTCGCCAGAGGTGTTCAACGACCAGGGCACCAGCACCAGCTGCCTGAACCTCGTTGTGGCCGAGGTTGACGCCGACGCGCCCGAGAACCAGCGCCCCGAGACAGAGCACGAGGTGAGAGCCGCGGCGCCCGGTGTCTAGCCCTGATCAAGCCCCGCTGCTCCCAGTCGTTTTGCGATCGGCTGCGCCCCTCGGCCCGTATCCGCATCGTCACTCAGCCGCGGGCCCCCCCCACCCTGGCACCATCAATCGCAGGTTGGCGAGACGATCGCGACGCTGCTGGTGCCCATCAAAGGCCTGGTGCAGCGGCTGGAGGCGTTCAAGGCCGACAGGGGCTGGGGCATCTGCTCTCGCCTGTACAGCCTCGCGCTCGGCCTGCAGCTCGGCGGCGGCGCCCTCTGATCAGCCTCCGCGCCCCACGCCCATCCGCACCGCCGTGCGTGCCGCGGCAGCTTCCAGCGCGGCTCGCGTTGGTTGTCGGCGATGTCGGGCGACGCGGGACTCGCGGCGTCGGGCAGCCAGCCGCAGGGCGGCGGCAGCGAGCCGCCCGCTGCCACGCAGGGCGCTGGCCCCAAGGGCCCAAAGGGCCTGGGGGCGGGCCTGGGGCCTAAGCGCAAGTCGGGGGGTGGCGCCAAGCCGCTGGCAGATGCCGCAGAGGGCGGCAGTGAGGGCGGGGATCGGGTCGGCGGCGGCGCGCCGGCGGCGGGGCCCGCCGCGGCGCGCGCTGCCGTGCCTAAGCTGCCCATTCCGCC